GGAAGAGCAAGGCTGCCCTTTCCTTTTCTGCTTGCTGAGCTAATTGAGTGCAAACTACTTTTGGACTTTGAACTCCTTTTGCAGCAATTGAAGTAAGCTGAGGAGAAAAGGGGAATGTGGAAGGAAAAGTGAGAAACTGGACATGTGAAAAGCCGAAAAATCGGATGAGAATAGAGTAACTGGGATTGTCCCTCCCAAATCGAGACAGTTAGAAAGTACAGGAGAGTCACAGTTAAGTCTCTCACTCTTTAGAAGATTTAAAGATGTTTTAAGTCTCTCACCAAAGGGTTATTGAACAAAATTAGCAATCATAGAATAAGGGGGGAAATCCTGTTGTTTACATTCCTCCATTGTGAGAATGGACAATTTATTTCTCCTTTCCAACTCCTGTTCTTGAATCAGAGTAGGAAGCAACTGATAGCTCTCACAATGGTGGGATATTATTGGAAAATCTTTGCTTTCTCTTTCCCCCTCCTTAGATAGATAGGAATTTCTTGGTTACAAACTCCTCCTTCTCTATCTCTCATTTAAACTAACCATGTGGCTTAGGTCACTCCCTCTTTGGGACTAACCGTCTTTCAGGATTTTCAATTTAGCTGTTCCATCTTCCTGCTCTCTTAAAGATGGTGAGATTTTCTCTTTTTATCTAAACCATCACTAGTTAATTAGGATTTAGCTTTTTATGTAAATATAGATTAAAGCCGTTGTTTTGAACTACAAGCTACATGTTTGTTGTTTTTCAGTCAGTCTCATTTCTTAAGGAAACACAGGCAAAGTCACTCTTCTGCTACTCTGCTAATTTAAAGGCAGACTCTAACATATTTTGATATTTGAATATTTTTGTTTCCTTACTAAAGGCTAAAGCCTTAGGAAACTTAAACTCCACATTTTTGGGTTATGGGGGCCCAGTCAATTTTGTTCTAAACTGCTTCTCCTGAAGATACTGACTGCAAGAAAGGTTTTGCTACTCTAATAATAGAGAACAGTTTCTGCTAATCCTAATCCCACAGTGATGACTGAAATATTAATTGGAACAAATTATAAAAGGTGGTCATGGAAAATGCAAATGCACTTGACTACAATGGGACTATTTAAAGCAGTGAATGGGCACAAACCCACAGAAGCAGGAATACAGCAACAACAGTTTGATGAAAATGCAGAGAAGGCAGCTGGTTATATTTGCTTGTCTATAGATCCCAGCATTGCATACCATATTCATGGTTTAACTCAGGGGTAGGCAACCTTTTTGAGCCGGGGGCCGGGTTGCTGTCCCTCAGACAATTGGGGGGCCAAAGCACCAAAAATAAATAAATAAAAATAAAAATAATTTAAAAAATTAAAAAAAATATGCATGCACACTCTCTCAGCCCCAGAAAAGCCATGGCAAAACCCCTGTGGAGATTTTGCCAAGAAAACCCCAAGAACAAGTAATAAAAACAATAATTAATATCATCATGGCGGGCGGCGGCGGTGGCGGCAGGACCGGCCTGGGGCCAGTCCAAAGGCCTCGGGAGGCCACATCCGGCCCCTGGGCCTTAGGTTGCCTACCCCTGGTTTAACTGATACAAAACAAATATGGACAAATTACAGAAAGTGTTTGATTCTGCAAGTATTTCTAACCAAACAGCTCTCATTATCAAACTTGTTAACACACAAGCTTGTTACTGCACCTGGAGAAGCCTCTCCAGAACATGCAAAACCTGGACTGTTTTTGGCTAGCCTTCCAAAATGTTGCTGTTGTTTTGTTGTTAACTGCCCTCGAGTCAATCTCGACTCATGGCGACCCTAAGGATGAGACATCTCCAAGACCCTCT